TTTACTCAGTATATTTGTTGTTTAACCTTTTTACTCAGTATATTTGTTGTTCAACCTTTTTACTCAGTATATTTGTTGTTTATCCTTTTTACTCAGTATATTTGTTGTTTATCCTTTTTACTCAGTATATTTGTTGTTCAACCTTTTTACTCAGTATATTTGTTGTTCAACCTTTTTACTCAGTATATTTGTTGTTCAACCTTTTTACTCAGTATATTTGTTGTTTATCCTTTTTACTCAGTATATTTGTTGTTACCCTTTTTACTCAGTATATTTGTTGTTTAACCTTTTTAATCAGTATATTTGTTGTTTAACCTTTTTAATCAGTATATTTCGAATTTGAATAATGGAGCGTGGGGTATAGATTTTTCATAAAAAATTTCTCCAATTTTAATGAAAACAAACATTGTGGTCAAGCAGATATCTTCCATACCGTATAGTTTTAAATTTTGAGAAAAATAATTTGATTGATAGCGTTGAAAAACTAAAAAAAGTTTGCACTTTGCGCAAAAAATATTTCTGACACGGACAAAAAATCATAACCCCCCTTTTTGAAGTTCAATGGTCAGTCCCTAACCACATTTGTAAATGTACCAACTATATATTTGTCAAATTAATTTTATCTTTCTATTAAATCACCGAGCTATACACTAGCTGCTGGTGCTCTTAAGGTTCATGTGGACCCTTTGGCTAAAATGGCTGCATTTTCACCTCAAAATTTACTCTGAGTACAGACAAACCTGCGCATCTGGAAAAGTTTTAAGGCATAGCATGCCCTAGATAAATAAACTTCTAATGCATTGTATGTTTTAGAAAATTTAAAACTTAACTGGATTTAGCAGTGCACTTTTTTTCGTCCCTGCAGAAGATGATAAAATTAACAAACAGTTGAGTTTCACTTGATATGGTCCACTCAGGTACACAGTTTAAATCACCAATTATTGTCAGGTATCTATTGTCCATCTATTGTCCATGTCAATCAAAACAGTTCACTTCAATTATTACCTGTGGGGAAGTTCTCAAACCTCTTTCCCAACTTAGTTTATTTTGGCACCTTCTGGAGGAATGAAAAAAAGTGCACTGCAAAATCCGGTTAAGTTTTTAATTTTCTAAAACATAAAATATATTTGAATTTTATTTATCTAGGGCATGCTATGCCTTAAAACTTTTCCAGATGCACAGGTTTGTCTGTACTCAGAGTAAATGTTGAGATGAAAATGCAGCCATTTTAGACGAAGGGTCCACATGAACCTTAATATTGGCATTATTTAACATTTGCACCTATTGTAAATAAATTGTAAACTTGAAACAATATTACTTTTCTTAAAAAAGAATTCCGCATAGTCAGCATCGTTTTTAGAGTGAATGGCAATATATTACATTTTTGCGTGAACCCCCTGAGGGGTTCACGCTTATATATTGGCGAGTTTTGGAAGCTTCTATGTGCCATCCGATATCGTCGGAAACAAGATTCTCGGAACGTCTCAGAAAGTTCCGATCATTTATACACTGTCAGGTAGTTGTTTATGTCTTTGATACGGTCCCTCTATGGATAGGCTACCACGTGACATTGTATAGTTCGACAATCGAAGTTCATTTGTAGATCGGAAAAAAAAATAAAGACTCGATTGCAATAAAAAATCATTTATATATTGCCACCTACTTGCCTTTTGGTACAACATATGCGTTTTAATAATGCGGACATAATCGGAATGTTTATTAAATATCAAGTATAATGATAACGCAATTATATAATTCATGCTTTGAGACGGCCCCTATGTGCGTTGTGTGTGTAGTATTTAATACAACGTGCTACTGTGCATTGTGACAATAAATCTGGGATTAGTATACTAATATATTATGTCTCAGAATAAACTCATTATTTCTTAACGTTTACCACGTGACATGTTTTACTTCAATCACAGCCAGGGCAAATGTCGGAAAGCAAGAAGAAAATTAACAAAACGATATATCTGTTATAAATATGTATCTTAGGTATGAAAGCATAATTATAATTAAACAAAACAATATTTCTGTCAAAATATTTGATTTCATTAAAATACACTAACAGATCAAGAAAATATTCATTAACATTATTAAGTTCAAACTGAAACTAAATTTGTCATTAGAATGAATTTCATAACAGCGTGGACATGGACACATAGTAATTAAATGTTATCGTGTATATCACTGGCTGTCGACAACAAAGACTTCACACACTTACAGTATGTCAGGGGCCTCTCAATGGGGATATACATAATTACTATCTTTACACATGTCCATTCATAAAATAAAAGTTTTTGCATGAAAGTTTATAGGAATTTGTTTTGAATATTTTTATATACTCACAACAAAAAGTTTCTTTTGACAGAATAAGTATATTCAGAGGTGATATCACCAAGTAATCGAGAACATGTAAAACAAAAGTTACGGGATCAATATTCTTTTACTACAAATTAAGCAGGTAATTTCAAAGAATTTGGTCTTACTCAACTACTTTTTTTTTGTTATTTGAGGACGCATATTTGAGACAATTCTGCATAAACGTTTATTTGCAATTTTATTCATGCTGATTTCAAAAGCCTCTTTCATAGCCACTCCCTTATTTTAACTGAATCAGGAATGGTCGTTCCCTTACAATTTGAAATTGTACTTACTTCTTTTTCGGTTTCTGTGTTTCAATATATATCCATGAATTTAATGATATGTTCAGTAATAGTTATACACCGAGGGATAGGTGTGTCTGGATAAGAAACCCCGTTCGGCCGGAGGCCGCAGGGGTTTCTTATCCAGACACGCCGTATCCCGAGGTGTATAACTAACTTACACCCCATTCTAAACCCAATTTTTGTTAACATTGATTATTAAATGAAAAAAAAAACCGATAGCATATTTATTGACAATATCAAACCATGATTTATAAGAATTTTTTTTTTATTACATGAAACCCCACTAGTAACCTTTCTTAGGGTATCTTTGTTCAAACTTTGACAAGTGAGTATATTTCACAAATGTCAAAGTTGTTTTGCATATTCCTGTTAAATCCATGTGCTAAAATGGATCAGCGGGTCAAGGTTGACCGTTTCGTGTATTCTTATTACAAACAAAAAATACATCATGCTCCTTGTATGCAGTTGTCAATATGGACGGGTATAAGACGGACGACATTTTGTGGCAAGCGTTGGATTTGGTAGAAGAGACTTAAGATAAAGGCTATATTATAACCCAAAGTACTTACCTGTATCAGTGTAATAAAGGTAATCATAACTGTATTTTATATCTTACGGTTTTATAACCACCCCCCCCCCCCCCCTCTTCTCAAAATAAACAAACATTCATATTCGGACATACTAAGGGATAGATGTGACCCGACTATCAGACACGCTCAACATACAAAGATACAGATTTAATATTTAGGAACTCCCTTTTTGGGGGCAAACAGGGGCTGATCCAGCTTGGGGTTCCCAACTCAAGAGAAAAAAAGGGGGGGTCCAACCATTCAAATGCATTGATCTTTTAAATAAAAGTCGGGTCCAAACCGCGGAACCCCCACCCCCAGATCGGCCAATGGGTAACCGGGGGAGGGGGGGTCCCGGGAGTTAGAATCCCCATTTTTTTTTAAAGACCAATGCTTTAGAATAGAGACATATGACTGGGATAAAAAAGATTACCTTCAAGCAAAGGAGTATTTAAAGGATTATTTTTGTATTTAAAATAGATGATTAATTTTTTTTCGCAATTGGAATTTCCTAAAATGTGTTTTTTTAATATCTTGAAACAATTTGTAGTGAACACTATTAGTAGTTTCTTATGTTCATGCTATTTAAAAAAAAATCAATTTCTATTGTTACGAATAACAATGGACTTTGTTTGCGGGATGTAGAAGCAAGGGTTTCCAGAAACCCCGCTCGTCACACCCTGTGGTCAAAATCCTTTGTTATTCGTAACAATAGATCTATTCAATTTACACTTGTTTCAGAAATAGAAACTATGAAGTATAACAATAGAACTGGGGTGTAACAATACATCTGTTTTGGAATAATAAATCATGTGCACAAGACTAAACTGGTCAACTGTAACACGAAATAATATGGAACGCCGACACTGTCTTATTATGACATTTATCATTATATGATGTTCATTTGCCATTATATGATGTCATTGTACCCTTATATGATGTGCAAATGACATAATATGATGTGCACTTGTCCTTGTATGATGTACACTTGTCATTATGTGATGTGAACTTGTCCTTATATGATGTACACTTGTCATTATATGATGTGAAGTTGTCCTTATATGCTGTCCAAACACGTTTATATGAGGTGCAAACATCTTTATATCATGTCCACAATTCATTATATGATGTGCTTTCTCCATTATGTTATGTGATTGAGTCCTTATATTATGTGATGCTTTCCTTATACGATGTAGAAACGGCATTATGTGATGTGCAATCACCTTTATACGATATGCAATCACCTTTATATGATGACAATTTGACATTATCTGATGTGCAAATTATATTATATGATGTGCAAATTATCTTATATGATGTGCAAATGGTCTTATATGATGTGCAAATTATCTTATATCATGTACAGATGTCTTTATATTATGTGCAAACTTCTTTATATGATGTGAACTTATCCTTATGTTATGTGCTAACATCGTTATATGATGTGGTAAGGTCATTATATTATGACAATGTAACATCATATGGTGTGGTTCGGTTTACATCTTTATATGATGTCAGAACATCATTATGATGATGTCGAAACATCATTATGATGATGTGCATTCATCGTCCTGATGGTCAATGAACATGATTACGATTAAAGCGATTACTCACTACGTCAGAACTGATTCCGATCTGCTTCTACGAAAAAAGCAGTTCTGTATCTATGTCGTATGAAAAATGGATGAGATTTTGAAAGAGTTAAACCTAGGCACGTTGGTATTGCGTTTTAAAGATGAAAAAATAACACCAGATATTGTCGGAAAATTGTCCAAATTTGAATTGCAAAGTTTAGGCTTAATCGATAGCTCTAAAATAATGAATTTACGGTTAAAGTGTTTAAATTATGGATCTTCTACTTTGTGCCGAGCACCTGGAAGTCGAATATTTCAGATACCAGAGGATATTCTACACTTTTTTCTTGAATGCCAATTTACTGTTACTGATATAGCAAAGCTCCTATCAGCTTCTGAGAGTACAGTTTATAGGAGAATGCGGCAATGTAATTTAACTAAAAAGAACGTCTCAAACATTTCGGATGAAGATTTAGATTCCTTAATACAGGAGATAGTTCAGGAATTTCCCCGCTGCGGCGAAAACATGATAAAAGAATTGTTAATGCAAAAAACAGCTATACAGGTATGTTGAATACTCTCTTTTTTATTTTTATATTTGATTTCCTTTCTTATACCAAATAAATCACACAGTCATGTGTTTCATAAAATTAATTGTTACCAGGTGGTGAACATGGGATCTAGTCGTTGTAAAAAAGGGGATGGGGTTGGGTGGTATTGCGGTTGGAATTTTCGATTTGAATCTTTTTGCTAAAACTGTTAATTTTTGTAGCATGGACATTAAAGTTCTTTCTTGTACACAACTACTTTTAGAACTGTTTTGCATTTTGAAAAGCAGAAGAATTTTTATTTTCAATTTGTCTTTTGCAAATCAACTTAATTTTTTTCTCCCGAAATCCTTTAGCCACTAGCCCGCCTCCATACCGAATGGTCATGCCATACATTTACAAGTATTACCTATTAAATATGAGTGAAAATGTAGCGGGACAGTAAACTCAACATAAAATTGTCACCAAACGAGCATCCACAGTTTTCGGGAATGGATAAAAGTGTAATTTCCCATGAATATTGTTTCACTTATAGAGCAAAGATATAAAAGATGATGGCAAAAAGAATAAAAAGTGGAAACGATGAAATCGTCAAAAAGATTACAACCCGACAAAAATTTACAAAACAACCCAAGGCCACCAGTGGGTCTTCAATAAAGCGAGAAATCCCACACCCAGATGCTGGCTTGAGAAGGCTCTAAAACACTTATATAAAAAAGAGATGTGGTGTGATTGGTATGACACAACTCTTCACAAGAGACCAAATGACACAAAAATTAACATCTATATAGGTCACCGTACGGCCTTCAACAATGAGCAAAGCCCATACCGCATAGTCAGCTAAAAAAAGGCCCCGAAATGACAATTGTAAAATAATTCAAACGAGAAAACTAACGGCCTAATTAAGAACCAAAAAATGAACAAAAAACAAATATGTAACATAGCAACAAACGACAACCACTGAATTACAGGCTCCTGACTTGGGACAGGCACATACATACATAATGTGGCGGGATTAAACATGTTAGCGAGATCACAACCCTCCTCTATACTAAATCAGGAAAATAGACGCCACTCTACACTTCGAAACACAGAGATGAACCAAAAGTATAAAACATACAAGAATAACAAATGCTTAAGGTTCTGGACTTAGGACGGTCGCAAAATACTAGTAAGGCGAAGTTAAACATGTTTAGTGAGCGCTCAATCTACCCGCTCACCTTGAGCCAATGTACACATATTTAACTTCAACGTCTACAATTTTGAGTGTCAATGCCAAAGAATAAATTTTGGGATCCCTAAAAAATTTAGCATTTTCACAATTTTATATTTTCCATTAATTCGAAAAGTCCGTCACAGCTGTTTAAGTCATACTTTAGATATTGAACGTAATCAAACTTTTCAGCCGAAGGTTTTATTTTGTTAAAACATGAATCTATGGTGGCATATATCTGCCCCTACTTGTCACTTAGTTAAGTCGTCATAATTAGCTAAATAAGTCTACTTGTCACTTAATTAGATCTACTTGTCACTTAGTTCAGTTCACTTGTCAGATATATAAGTCTGTTTTTACATGTCATGAAATGGGCAAAAACACCTAAAGATGTTTTTATTTTCTATACAAAATAGTGTCATTTTATTATCTGACAAGTAGACTTAATAAACTTTCTCAAAATGTGTTTCGGAACAGATTTTTTCCGAATGTGACCTACCGAATTAGACTTATTACAGGGTTTGTACTAACATGAGCTACAATACGGCTGCCACATGTGGAGCAGGATCTGCTTACCCTTCCGGAGCACCTGAGATCACCCCCAGTTTTTGGTGGGGTTCGTGTTTCTCAATCCTTAGTTTTCTATGTTGTGTTTCGTGTTCTGTTGTTTGTATGTTTCTTTTTTAGCCATGGCTTTGTCAGTTTATTTTTTACTTATGAGTTTGAATGTCCCGTCGGTACATTTCGCCCCTCTTTTACTCCAGTTTAAATCTCCGGAAAACGAAACATTGATATGTACATGTCACTTAAGTTAGAGCACCGTCAAGTATGCTGTTCTTTTTAACCGATGTTTTAATACTCAAGTAATCCGTAATATTAGTTCAAAAGGAGTAATGCATATTGTGTCTTCTACAAAACATCCTTGCCCAAGACATGCTAAAATAAATATGCTTACAAAATTTCATTTGTTTTTGTATTCATATACATGAAATATATACATATATATATATATATATATATATATATACATGTCTAAATTGAAAACGACGTTCAAACCTATGATTGCGTTGGATAAAAACCGCAATTTTTATACGTGTGCATGCAAAACAAATTTCTTGGTAGAGGGGTCTAAATACAGCACAAACAACATTTTCCAAAAGAACAAAAAAGTGAAAAAGTATATTTCAACAAAACGCACTTGACTAACAGGTCGAACAACTGATGTTCTTAAACCCTGCTGACTGCCATTGGCGATTGCCAAATAAACGGATCACAAGATGTAACAAAATGGATCTTTAAAAAATAATATCTAATACCAAACAGAAAACAATAAACTTGCGGAAAAGATGGTATACCGCAAACAAAAGGTGCAAAAATTAGTACACCATATCCGGATTTCGACAATTAATGTCTCTTCAGTAATGTTAGGGATCGAAACAGTATTTGGAAGGCCATAAAATTTACCTCAATTTAGGATAGACTCTTGAATATATATATATATAGATCTAACCACTTCATCCTTTAACAGGTGACTAGAATGCGTTTAAGAGAGAGCTTACATCGGCTGGATAACATTGGAATATAAGATAGAAAGAAGAGAAGGTTGCATAGAGGTATATACAACGTTGATGGTGTAAATCATATGTGGCATATTGACACAAACCACAAGCTTATCCGATGGAATTTTATTGTGTTAGGGGGAATTGATGGCTTTAGTAGATTTATAACCTTTCTCAATTGCAGGGACAACAATAAAGCTGTTACATTACTGGATTCCTTCAAAAATGGTGTAGCAAAATTACGGAATGCCTTTACGTGTTCGATCCGATAAGGGCCTTGAAAACTGCCTAGTTGCTGATTACATGATCAAAGATCGAGGTCCTAACCGTGGTAGCATGATAACAGGGAAAAGCTGTCACAATCAGAGGATAGAAAGGTTGTGGAGGGATGTTTTTGAAGGTGTATTGTGCTTTTATTATGATCTTTTTCATTTCATGGAGGAAGAAGGCTTTCTTGACAATTCACTTAGCGACCACATGTTCGCTCTACATCATGTATATATATGCAAAAAATCACGCGATGAAAAATTGAGCATATGGGCACGGGCGTGGGGAAAACACCGCCTTCGTACTGCAAAATCGTCTCCTCTTTGATTATTTACTGCAGGTATGATTAATAATCCACCCGATTTTGAAATTTTTGACATCGAAAATTACGGTACAGAGGGAAATTATGAAGATACTTTAAATGACTATACTGGCATAGATGATCCCAGGCCTACACTCGATTCACAGGCGTTTGTTGTAAATGAAACATGCCAAGAACAACTAAACTTGTATTGTCCAAAAAAATGGAGCTCTGTATATCATGGAATCGACGTATATCTACAAGCATTACATATTATCGAGAGGAATTCCGGAATTATTGAGTGATTATAAACGAGTTAACCTTTTTCAGTGTAGGACATATGTATATCATCTTCTCATTTTTCTTAAGTGTTTGGCAATACACTTTCAGACAGATTGTGAAATTGAAAGAGTTAGATAAAACCAAACTGGTTAAGCATTATGTTGTTGAGAAATAAGAATATAAAAAAAATGCTGTTACAGTTTACTATTTCAAAGATGATGACTTCCGAGATTGTTTTATTCCTTTTATGTAATTTGTACATGTCATTTTATGCTTTAAATACAAATGTTTATCGAACACTTTGATTGAATCAAGTATATAGTTGTGGTATGTAGTTTAACTCTTGTCCGTTTTTCTGTTTTTCACAACGAACAACTTTCAGGACTTCCGATATTCAGGCGATTTTTGGTATACATGCCAGTCTTTAAGATAACAATACACAGTTAGCAAACAAAGTGATAATTTACCCTCATGAATATTAGCCATCCTCTTTTCCTTGCTTTTAAATAGTAAAAGCTTAATGTGTGTATAAATAAGAAGATGTGGTATGAGTGCCAATGAGACAACTCTCCATCCAAGTCACAATGTATACAAAGTTAACAATTATAGGTCAATGTACGGCCTTCAACACGGAGCATTAGCTCACACCGACCAGTAAGCTATAAAGGGCCCCACATATCCAGTGTAACACAATTCAAACAGGAAAACCAACGGTCTTACTAAGTATCTATTTACAAAACGAGAAACATCTAATATATGTGCATATGTCTATAATCAGAATCTTCGAAAGATTCTATTTCCAATGCTGAAAATGGTGAAATTTTATTTATTTTTGGTGTATCCATGGCAATAATCTGCATGTATTTGCTATAAAATAGTGCTAAAATGGGGGTGAAGGTGTCGTTTCCCAAAAATTTTGTCCCGGCAAACTTGAATTTCAATGGCCTTGAGTGATACCTTTTCTGAATCTATTTACATACATATATCAAAATATGAAAGAAAAATCATATGTCTTTCGCCTAATTTTTTTCGTAAAATTGCGTTGAAAAGTTGGAATAAGATCCCAGTTAAGGTAACCAGTCAAGTACCCACGAATGTAGTACTTAAACTAGACAAAATGATGCCCCCCCCCACACTCCACTCTGAAGTAACTGTATTATAACAAAGTCAATGTAGGACTTTCTTTTGAGATATTATTGTGTATGGGAGACACAGATGATGCCCCCACAGATGCAAAGTGTTATTTCGGAAATGTTATGCACCTGTTATGCATGTATATACTCCAAATTTGACAAAGTTCAACGATCTCCCAAAAGAGCAAATATTGATAAAAATCAAAACCCTGACCACATGCACACCTTCAATATATGAGGGGGTGGACAGCTATTGAGGGAGGTGGGAGAAGGGGACGGGAGGTGGGAGAAGGAGGGGCGGGAGGTGGGAGAGGGGGAGAGGGGGAAGAGGAGGTGGGAGAAAGGGGAGCGGGAGTTGGGAGACAAAAAAAAAAGTGGGAGAGAAATTACTAAAAAAAAAGTGGGAGGTGAGAGATAGGGGGCGGGAGGTGGGAGAAGGATACACCCTGTCCACCCCCTCATATATGTACAAACAGCCAGCAAAGTGAAAACTTCTTAGCATTGAAACTGTAGGAGTTATCCGGAAACGATATGCACCTCTTGCAAGTATATACTCCAACTAGAGGCTCTAAAGAGCCTGTGTCGCTCACCTTGATCTATGTGCATATTAAACAAAGGACACAGATGGATTCATGACAAAATTGTATTTTGGTGATGGTGATGTGTTTGTAGATCTTACTTTACTGAACATTCTTGATGCTTACAATTATCTCTGTCTATAATGAACTTGGCCCAGTAGTTTCAGTGGAAATTATTTTGTAAAAATTTACAAAGTTTATGAAAATTGTTAAAAATTGATTTTAAAGGGCAATAACTCCTTAAGGGGTCAATTGATCATTTTGGTCATGTTGACTTATTTGTAGGTCTTACTTTGCTGTACATTATTGCTGTTTACAGTTTATCTCTATCTATAATAATATTCAAGATAATAACCAAAAGCTGAAAAAATTTCTGAAAATTACCAATTCAGGGGCAGCAACCCAACAACGGGTTGCCTGAATGGTCTGAAAATTTAAAGGCAGATAGATCTTGACCTAATGAACAATTTTGTTTTTGAAAGATTTGCTCGAAATGCTTTGGGTTTAGATATATGAGCCAAAAACTGCATTTTACCCTATGTACTATTATTAGCCATGTCGGCCATCTTGGTTCGCGGTCGGGGTCATCAGACACAATTTTTAAACTACCCTAATGATGATTGTTTACAACTTTGGTTAAATTCATCTTAGTAGTTTCAGAGGAGAAGATTTTTGTAAAAGATAACAAAAATTTACGAAAAATTGTTAAAAATTGACTTTAAAAGGGCAATAACTCCTTAAGGGGTCAACTGACCATTTTGGTCATGTTGATTTATTTGTAGGTCTTACTTTGCTGTACATTATTGTTGTTTACAGTTTATCTCTATCTATAATAATATTCAAGATAATAACCAAATACGGCAAAATTTCCTTAAAATTACTAATTCAGGGGCAGCAACTTAACAACGGGTTGTCCGATTCATCTGAAAATTTCAGGGCAGATAGTTCTTGACCTGATAAACATTTTACCCCAGATTTGCTCTCAATGCTTTGGTTTCAGAGATATAAGCCAAAATCTACATTTTACCCCTATGTTCTATTTTTAGCCATGGCGACCATCTTGGTTGGTTGGCCGGGTCACCGGACACTTTTTTAAACTAGATACCCTAATGATGATTGTGCCCAAGTTTGGTTAAATTTGGCCTAGTAGTTTCAGAGGAGAAGATTTTTGTAAAAGTTTAGGGACGACGGACGACGGACGCCAAGTGATGAGAAAAGCTCACTTGGCCCTGTGGGCCAGGTGAGCTAAAAATGACAAAGTTCAACTATCTCCCAAAAGAGCAAATATGAATAAAAATCAAAACCCTGACCACATGCACACCTTCAATATATGTACAAACAGCCAGCAAAGTGAAAACTTCCTAGCATTGAAACTGTAGGAGGAGTTATCTAGAAACGCTATGCACCTCTTTTGCAAGTATATACTCCAAAAATATCAAAGTTCAACTATCTCCCAAAAGAGCATATATTAAATCAAAAATCAAAACCCTGACCACATGCACACCTTCAATATATTACAAACAGCCAGGAAAATGAAAACTTCCTAGCATTGAAACTGTAGGAGGAGTATCCGGAATAACAATATACTCATAATGGGACAGACGGACGGACAGTGGTAAAACAATATGCCCCCAACTAATAGTTGTGGGGGCATAAAAAAGACAACTTTTACTCCAAATGGTGTAGTGTTATTATTTCTATGTCAATATACCTGGCATTTTGAGAATATAAAAATATTCATATAGAGACACTCGGGCCTACAAAGTATCTATATACGGAGGACGAGCGGACAAACGGACGAACAGGCAGGGTTTATTGATATGCCCCTCGGCATTTTAATATAGGAGCCTAAAAGTTTACATGTCAACAAAGACCCTGCTAGTGTATTTCTCAAATGAACTTGTGATTTCAAAAACATTGTTGTTTTAAACAAGAGTAGACACACTGAAATGTCTCACCTGTTCTAGTGTTGATAATTGAATTATGTTAGTTAAAAAAAGTTTATACCACAAGCATTACATTAAATTAACATTTAAATGATCAATGTACAGCAGTTCAATGTAAAATAAACCCTTACAGACAGACACCAAATTATCGATTACATAAAAATTCTCAGAAAGAAACCTCGGACACCTGCCAGACAGACCTATACACCTAATAACTATTCCAGACACCAAATATAGTTCTACTATTTCTATAAAGTAACTGAAAAACAGACCAATGAACCATGAAAATAAGGTCAAGGTCAGCTGAAACCGACCAGACAGATGTATCTACCTTACAATCATTCCATAAACCAAATATAGTTAACCTATTCCTTTTAGTATCTGCAAAAAACAGACCAAACAAGAAAAAATAACATTGACCAATGAACCATGAAAATGAGGTCACGGTCAGATGATTACTGCCAGACAGACATGATGAACACCTTACAAACATTCCATACACCAAATATAATTTACTGAATGCTTATAGTATCTGAAAAATACTAAGTAGACCTGAACACAAAAACCCAACATTGACCAATTAACCATGAAAATGAGGTTAAGGTCAAATGACACCTGCCAGTTGGACATGTACACCTTACAATCGTTATCTATTATCTATACACAAAACATAGAAGACCTATTGCTTATATATATAGTATCTGAGATATGGACTTGACCACAAAAACTTAACCTTGTTCACTGATCCAAGAAATGAGGTCGAGGTCAAGTGAAAACTAGCTGACAGGTATGACGACCTTGCAAGGTACGCACATACCAAATATAGTTACCACGTTACGCATCATAAGAGAAAAACAAGATTAATCTGACAAAGTCGGAAACTCAGGCTGTTATAGTAATTATAAGACAATAACAATTAAAACCAAGGAGTAAACAAAGACTCATAAAACCAAAAAAACATTTACAACTTACAGTAGAAATAAAAGAGAAACAACACAAACTCCACTGAAAACTGGGAGTGAAATCAGGTGCTCCGGAAGGGTATGCACCGTATATCGCACCCATCGTGTTATTTCTTTTTTCTATCCGGTAATGATAGGTTACTTATATGAATGAGGAAGATATAACTAATGCAGTACTCAAACAATTCACGGTACTTTTAGGAACTTTTTATTTATATTTATATGGACTTTAATGATTTTAAACAAAACATTAACCAAAATGCATTTTGTTGTTTTTTACTGATGAATATCAAAACATGAAGTTCCCGACTTTTTTCCCACTATGTTGGACAATTGTTGGTAATTGACAACATTTTTAAAGGTTCTCTGTATGACTTATCTATTTTGGATGATGATGCTGTTTCAGTATGAGTTCCTGGTTTGCTGACAATGGGGGGATTTCAGGCTAATTATATAAATATTTATAAATTTGGACTCGAGTTGTATGCTTAGCAAGATGTTATCTATTTAAACACGAAAAAGTGTTTTAGCATTGTTTTGTGTCAGTTTGAAAATAATAACAATATTATAGGATCTTGGATTATCCTTTGCAATCCAAACTTAGCACCAGACTCTCCTTGTGCCCAAGTAATTAACATAACAAAAAATAAAAACTTTTAATAAAGTACTTACTGAATA